CAGGAATGCTTTACCAAACAAGGTCGCTTTGATGTAAGTGGCTGAGGCTGTCCTCAACATTTTCTGTGGGTGCAAAGAGGCAGGTGTGGAGGCAGCTTTGAAGAACAAAGCAGCTTCCTAGCCAATTGATAGTCCTGGGTGCTCAATAATCCAATGTAGTCTCCTGACATCAATTCTTCTAGTCCGTCCAACAATTGTGTGTGCATCCAGTTCCCTGTACAGACGTCTCTCTGCTTATATCATCTAGAGTGGTTTGTATATCTAGCACGGAAGTCTGATACAAACATAGGAACATGTTTTTTAAAAGTTTTTATTTCCTTTCTTGTTTGTTTTTCTTTTTTCATAGCATTTCTTCAGGGTAAAACATACCTCATAACATTGTAAAAATATCTTGGTGATTTTTTTTTTTTTCATTTCTCTCAATGTTTTTAAACGACATATTTGGGCTTTTTTTTCACCATGGACAATTTCATATATATACAAACAAGAAATTATTATAATGAATCTCAGTGTACCACTTACCGAATTTCAATTCATGGACTGGCAATTTTATATCCTATAAAACCCCACCCACATTTTCCCTAACAGATGACTAACAAAGTGTGATTTACAAGTTTCATACAGCAGAGGCTCTTTTATCAAACCTTAGAACTTAAACCTTAGATTCATTTGCACCTATATAATAATAAAATATAAATATAGTAAAATAAAATAATAATATAACATATAAATACATTATATGTTCTATAATCATAAATAATATGAAAGTTATTATAAATGTAATAAAATGCCACGATAAAACCCATATATTAAATAAGCATCTAGGCATATTTTACGTCTTGTAAATTTGCTACTATTTGGGACTACAGTAATGATATCAGATGTTCTGCCATATTCCTCTGACTACTTTAGGAAGAAATAACATATGTATCATGGCTCTTCAAGATTTCAGGTAATTCTCAATTTTCTCGCGTAACCTCTAGAAATTTTTACTACTTTCATAATAAGTTTCAAACTGGCTATTTCTAAAGCATATTGCTCTCACATGAAAATATAGTTGGAGAATTATTAAACTCTAAAAAGAAACATGAGTTAGAAATCAACACTAATTGAATCTCTCTGTCTCTCTCTCACACACACACATACACACACACACACACAATTTTGAGTATTTGGAAATTAAGAGCTTGCAAACTAATAATTTATGCATATTTTAATCAGGAATTTGAACTGATTTGTAAGAGCCAATGGTTTTGTGTATTTAAAAGTAAAAATGACATATAAACAAACTGAAAACTGATTCCAAGAAGGACAAGCTTGTTTTTCAACACTTGCTGAGCAGCCCTCCCCTGATGTGCTGTGCAATCACCCAGTTCAGTCTCTGCTTCAATGGCTAAGCACTGGCCTTGCAGGAAGGGATATTGGCATAATCATTCCTCTTGCCAGTGGTGCACAATCTCACTCTGACATGACTGCTGGGCTAATAACACAGGTCTCCCAGTAGTAGAGAAGTATCAGATTTTCCCATCACTCTGAACAGAAAAGTGTTGTGCCCTTCCCCTCAAAAACAAAATTCAAATCAAAACAACCACCACACACACACCATTGTGCTTTGCCAAAAGCATTTTTCATGATTTTGCATTTTCACACCTATGATAAATACTTTGACAATTACAATTCAAAACTTTCCTCTGCAAATACTTTAGTAAAACTGATGGCCCAGGAAAAACTTGTTTCTCTTTAGCACTCAATCATATAGCTGTCACAGATACAATGACCCAAGCAACCAGTTTCTCAGCATCATCATGTGGTCAGAATTGTGTTTTCACTTTCTTATGACAAGATACATATTTCACCAGGAGAATAAAGAATGTTTTAAATAAACAAAATAAATGAATGTTCAATAATAAAATTAATAATAATTCCAATGCAAAGTAATCAGTAATCAAGTCCCAAACTCAAGAGAACACATGGCTGTCTCTTCCTGGATATTTTATGAGCCATGCAATCATGTAACTCTCAGTATTTTACAATATTTTTACCCCACTTATAGCATGATGTAGGGATTTCCTGTAATTCCTATTTGCTACTTACTAAGAGTAATCAATGTCTAGTTTGTCATCTTATGATCTTCTTTTTCAGCGTCCTTCACCACGTTTTTTTCCCAACGTATGCTATTACTTCCTAGGAAGGGAAGTTTTCACTAATGGCATCCAGCCCAATCTGCTCTCTCCACACCATGTCCAACCTTGAAGCTCTCTTCAACTTCACCTTCATTTAAGCTTACCTATTGACTCAGTTTCTATGACAATGTTTTCAGCTTATTATCACACAGGGAAGATCTAGAAGTCTCATTCACTTTAAGTGTTAATAGCTGAGAGGAATTCATTTGTTACCCCATGCACACAGGCCCTAAGAGATTTGCATTTTAATAGAGGACAATTCTTTCATAACTCAAAGGAATGGAATATCTCTAATGGTGGAATTTCAAGCATCACTGACACTAATGAAGGAAATATTTGGGGTGAAAATACTTATCACCAAACCATAATACTTGAGACAACAACATATCTTTTCACCTAGATTTAAGCTTAACTTGAACAAAAGCAGATATTCATGCTTGAACAAGAGTAAAAGCAGAACTAAATTTAATGCAAAAATCTAAGCTGTTTCTTAATGGAATGCATTATTATCTTTGCATTCTTTGCTTCTTACCTTTGCAAAGTGAAGTTATACCATGTATAACTCAATTTCATTATGTCTTGAAAAAGATGGCCTTAAAGTTCTCTTCACCTTCACCAAACTTAGACAGGCACCTTATTGTCCTTCGGGTCCTGACTTCCCTTTTCTTAGAGCATTTACTTTAGAAAACTTGTACTTGTAAATTCTCTCTCTGATCTTTCAAGATATAAATTTTCTTAAAAGCCTCCTGCCAGTTTTACAACCCATGTGTGCCTTTCTCAGAGGCCTGGGAGCCACCCCTTTGAAATGTAATCATCAAGAAAGATAGTACTTCTATCTCCCAGTTTCTGTGGGAGGGTAGGAACCTAACTCCCTTGGGTGCCTTGCTCCAAGTTGTAAAACTACACTCTTGACATGAAAATAAGAGAAAGTTTTCTCTTCTTTTGAGTAAGGCCAATCAGCAAACACAGATGGCCTACAATCCTCCCACCCCTTTCCAGATCTTAAAAACTCTCCTGCTTTTTGTTTCAGTGAAATTGAGTTCAGAATGAGTTCTGGTCTCTCTCCCCTATTGCAATAGCCTTGAATAAAGTCTGCCTTGCCTGTTTAACTTTGTCTAGTGCAAGTTTTGCTTTGACAGCCTGGACATGGACAGACTTAAGTACCTATATTAAATTTGTTTACATTGCCCAAAGATTCCTTTATTAACAAACATCCTGAACATAATCTGACTAAGGAAGCAAAGAAAGTACAATACCTTTTTTCTTTATATCCATGGCAGTTTCCTTCTCAGTTTTCATTTTGACATCTTCTTTTTCTGGTAGTAAAATGAGAAAATTATAAACATCTGTTTAATTATCATATATTTCAGGGCACATTTTACTGCCATTAACATCCAATTCATCTTGTATAGAGTGATTCTACATTACAGTCATAGTCATGTCAAATATGAGTGAACTAGCACCTTTGTAACAGAACACTGGTTTTGGTGTGCTATCCCTTCAGGGAAGGAGCAAATTTTTGCTAAGGTAAAAAAAAAAAAAAAAAAAAAAAATTTCACGACAGTATGAACATTAGATGGCATTGTTAATTATGATACAATTCAATAGTTTTTCTAAAGGACATTAAAAGGAATATATTGAATGTTCCCTGGGCTATCAGGCCACTGCAAGCATGTCAGAAGCTGAGAAATCTCTTGGGCTCATTTGGGACTTCAGATGTGCTATTTGAAAGTAACCGTTCAAAAAAGAACAAAACATAGCAAACCAACTAACTACTTTCTTTCCCATACATTCAATAATTTGCTCTTTTTATTTATTTATTTATTTATTTATTTTTTTAGTGGTACGTGGGCCTCTCTCCTGTTGTGGAGCACAGGCTCCGGACACACAGGCTCAGCGGCCATGGCTCAGGGGCCCAGCCGCTCCACAAAACGTGGGATCTTCCCGGACCGGGGCACGAACCCGTGCCCCTGCATCGGCAGGCGGACTCTCAACCACTGCGCCACCAGGGAAGCCCAATAATTTTCTCTTTTGATAGACAATTTTATTAAACTAAATTAATTGGATAGTAAACTTCATATTCATATATGTAATCAAGTAAAGTAATGAAGTAGAATTGAGCACCACTCCTAAGAAAGAAAAAAAATAATCAGTAACAAATTTTTAAAGTGTTTAGGCTTGAATTTTCTTTTAAAAATTTATCAATCTCTACTTTTTTGGAATACTTATATTTGTTTGTTAGTAACAATGACAATAAAATTGTTAAGGGGATTTCTTTCCTAGAAAACAGTAGCTTTACCAGTAATATTACAAATGGTTACTAATTAATTCATGTGTTAGCTTTTAAATTCCTTACCTTTCTTTTTTGTTTCAGAAGTCACTTTATTCTCAGCTTTCTTCTTTTCTTCTTCTTTTTCTAGAGAAGAAATTTAAAATATTTCCTTTAGGAAAATTTAGTACAAAAGGAAAATGAAGTTTTGAATGAAGGATTACCATTAAAGTCAATTCTGCCTCCAGATAGTTCTGTGACTTTGAGCAAGTGATTTAATCTCACTAAGCCTTATTTTCTTCATTTGTAAAGTAACAGTACTTCCTTCAAAGTCAGATATGTTTTCAAAGCATTCTGCACAGTGCCTGGCTCACAGTAAGTGCATAAAATTGTGGGCTGCTAATACTGTTTACAAAAAAATGAACAAGATAGTTCAAGCTTTCTGAACCAAATGTTTGTCTAGTGCCCAAAGTAAGATATTAATGTTGAAAATTAAAATATAATTTCTGAGAAACAATGCTGCAGGTAAGCTAAAAGAATTATTTTTTGTTTTCTTTTCATATGTTCAGTTTCATTAGCAATAATACATTAGGCCATTAACAATATCTATTTTGATTTAACTGTTTTTCAGATCTGCCTCTTATCAACAGACATTTGGATTCTGGTGACATTTATCTGGCACCATATTGGGGACATAACTTCCACTGCCCTTTCTGAGTGGCCATATCAACCAGTGTGCTCAGACTATATTTGCACCCAGAGGTTGCTGTTAAGTCTGGATGACACACAGAACAGTTTGACAGTTTGTGGTACCTCTAGACTTCTTTATGGAAGATTTCTGTTTCAGAGATCTAAGAAAACCTTGGTCTGAGGGGCAGAGGGAACTTCAAATGCTGCCCAGCAACAGCCATGTAACAACTAGACATCCCCGGACATTTTTCGGGTAAGTGTTCTCATTTTAAATAACAAAGTCATGTAGAAGTACACAGTTGTTGAAATGGAATATTCAGTACTGTTAGGTTTGAGGCAGCTACAAGCACAGTTAATGTTGGAAACTGACTGATTTTTATCTTCAGTTAGTAATGCGATTTACCTTATATTTGAAATACTTTTCTCTTTGCCATTTGTCTCTCCAACTCAAGTATAAATGCCAGGCATTCAAAGATGTTCATTACCCAGAACTATTATGAGATTGTTACTATGCTGAAGAAATTCAATGTGTACTTCTAGTATCAATGCTTAAGTTGCCTACTAACGATGGCATCTTATTAGATATAGGAATTAATTCATTCCCTTAGGTATAGAGATTTTTTACCTATGAGATCAAAGCCAACGCTTTCTTGCAGTGTCAGAAGTATAATTTACAAAGAACCTCTTTTCATGACTCCTAGAGATAAGTTAGTGTTGTAGGGAGAAATATATTCACACTCTGTCTACAGTGTACCTTTACAGCTCATCCAGTCAGAAACAGAAAGTCAAGAAGTCAGATTTTGATAGTTCTGGAGTTAGAAATAAACAAATGGAAGGCTACTTTGCCTTTTCCTAAAGGTTTATACATATTAAATATGCAAAACGTCTTTAAAATTCTGAATAAAGATACTTTTGATTTAAGTATCATTACTTTCAGCTTCTCTGGGAGAAATTTTATGTAGCAAGGACTTTTCCATCTTATCTAAATAAATGCATACGCCAGACAGTTGAATTGGCATTTGCTAAACATCACCATCTGATGTCATGTGCTAGGAAAGAAGTTAATTAAAATACAGATTAATTGTGAATATTTCTTAGCCTATATTAAAAATCAATGCCATAGGCACGATAAGATCACAACTTAGTATCCAACTTAGTATCCGAGTCTCTAAGTTTCATAATGTAGATGAATAAATATTTCATTTAAAAGTTTGTGCCAATTAGTTAATCTTATATTAAACTTCAGAAGGAAAGTAGGTATTTGAGGCCAGAAGATGGAAGACATTCTTTTCATTTTTTTAAAAGAGAATTGTCTTGTGTAATAAATTCTACCCTTTGTATTAATATAGCTGGGATTTATTGTGGTGATACAGTATTCTCGCCTTAGTTCAGATTGATTAATGCTTCCATTATACACTCTGCCTGTGATTATGGCCATACACTGGAGGAGTCATGAATAAGAACAGAAATCCACAAAAAGCAGGTATAAATAATGTACTTTAATAACATTTTTATGAATTAGACTTTTAAGCTGTCATTATGGGACCTACTTTATTCGTGGTTAATTCATTTCAAAACATCAACTTCTGAAGATTCATGCATTTCTTCAAGCACAACTGTCTATTCTTTAGGTGATTTGGCAGCAGTGAAATTAAGCTTTTCATTTATATAAGGCACAACAATTTAATTATAACCTACTTGGATATAAAAGTAACCCATGTTTCTTATATGAAAGCTCTCCTTCCCTTGACTGTTTGCTCCTTCAACAGTCAACAGTACCCCTTGCTTTCCACTTGACTGTGCGCCCACATGTCCAATTTCCTCCTCATACTTTCCTCCAATTTGTTTGCTGCTTTGTTAGTAACAGCTAGAGAAGAGTTAGGACATTTTTTATCATTGATTTTCAGAGCGTCCACAATTAAGTGTGTCTATAGAGTGTGAACTTATCAGCATGCTGCCTTTCTCTGAGAAAAGTGTCATAAGCCCGGAAATGACGGCTCTATCTGGCAGGGATCACAGGAAGGGCTGGCTGAGAGAGAAATCCTCTCCGCAATGAGCAGCTCTGAACCACAAATATGTTATTAGCTTCTGCATAAATTAACATCAGAAGAAAGAAAAATTAAATGACTTACTTTTTACTTTCTAAGCCCTTACAATGGGCTTTTCTCCTGCTTTTAAATGTTTTTATGCCATCTCAAAGCCAGAGAATCCACAATAGTTAATTATAAAGCTTTTGAAGATGCCTGTTCCTAGCAAACCGAGAAAACAAATGCAAATGCTTCATTTTCATCTTATGTTTGTTCCTTCCCTTTTTGCCTTTCTACTGTACAGATTATCCAAAATTTACATGCTTTTCTTCTAACTCTCTCTGGCCAGGGTCGATGTATTCTTGGTCCCAGTCAGGTTTCCTTCATAACAACTCATTCTAGCACACCTCATCACTGTCACCTTGTTTGTAAAGAGTGGCAGAGGCTGGCCTGGAACCCCAGTCACAGTATGAGCATGGAAAATTTCACATAAACAGATAAGTTCAATTACACCAATGATTATCAGAGTTCTCCATTGTTATCTACAGAGGGGAATGGAGCAAGAGAGAAAGCACTGGTGCTGCCGTGGGTGACCCTGGTCTGTCTCTGACCCCTTCTGGTTGTGACACTGGCAATGTGCTGTGACACACTGAATTTCATTTACCTCTTTTAAAAAATGCACTAGCAAAATCTACCTTGCCAGCTTATTGTGAAGAAACTGAGCAAAAGTGCCTGGACCAAAGTGGATGTTCAAAAAAAATAATGATAGCAATAACTAGCTATTACTATACTTTAGAAACAATTAAAATCTGCCTACGTATACTCTTCAGTAATTTTTCTAAGTGTGACATTTATTAATCTGAGTCAATGCACATTAATTCTTATTTTTCTGTGTTGAGGGGGCTGTATCAGGAATATTTTATATTGTGAAACTTTAAGAAAAAAATACTCAAGTAGGAATTAACATGTTTATGAAGGGGCACTGTGCTGGAATGAAGTGGATTCTAGTTTCAGTTTTGCTATAATTAGTAGTTTTTGCCTAATGCAACTGTAAGGGAATCTTCTGTCTTCAACCACAAAAGTCAGGGGAATGAGTAGAATGTAGTTAAGTCCCTCTTCACCTGTCTATGCCTTTATTCCCCAAATGAAGTATTTATTTCCTAATTTTTCTGAGAACAGTTAACGTAAAAAGCTTTAAATCTGTAAATAGCTGTTGTACATTCTCTGGCTTTGCTATGGCTTAAAAAATTTTAAAGCTAGAGAAAAGTCCATTTTTAAGCCTTAAAAATGAATATGTTTATATGCATATGTATGCATGGATATACATATATATGTGTATATAATGTCAGGTAATAATAAGGGTCAGAAAAAAATAAAGCTTGGTTTAGTGGATTACAGCATGTGGGAGCAGATCAGAAGTGGCTTTTTCTTTTAAGGTGGAACGGGGGTAAGCCTTTCTGAATGAGTACCATTTGAAAAGATTCTTGAAAAAAAGTAGAAGAGTTTTGGCTATTGAGGAGAAGACTTCTGCAGAGGAAAAATATCTGCCAAGACCTTGAAAGAGAAGCGTTCGAAGGATGAGATGAGGGGTGGCCAGTGATGTAGCAGGGGCCGATCACACAAAATCTTGTTCATGATATGAATTTTCCATTTTATTGTGAGGAAGGTAGGAGGCTGCTGAGAGGTTTCAAGCAGAGTAATTATACTGTGATAAAGTACGTTTTAAGAGGAACTTTGGCTGTTGCTGACTGGCTGGAGCCAAGTACCCCACTGGATTTTGTGATCACACTGCGATGAAGAAGACTAAGAAAGTAAAAGGATTCAGTACAAATATCCTTCTTCATGTTTTCCTCTTTTTTTCCCAAAAATTTCCTCTAAATTTTATTTGGGACTCTTGAAAGAATGTAACATTACAGAAACATGGTGGGAGTACCTCACTTTACATTGTGCTTACGTTGCTATAACAGCAAAGCTCTTCAAGGACTTCACTTGAGTTATCTGGCATAACTAAACTGGTTTTTCAGAACCTGAATCCAGTCTTTGCCTTGACTTTTCCTTTAGGGAATGCTGAATTATTCTTAGAAGTCAGCTCTTCCCATTATCAGCTACTAACAACAAAAAATTCACAACCAGAACTTGTATAGCATCTTCCACTGACTTCCCAGAGACTTTTACATAAACAATTTATTCACTTAATCAACACATGTTTATTTAACCTTATGTCAAACCTTTTGCCAGGGTCTAGAGTTTTAAACTATTCCTTCCAGGAATTTTAGGTATAAGACTAAGAAGGGATAAAGTTTACAATTACAATATGGACTTAGGGACATTAAAGTCGGAGTCTAAGGGAGACAGCAGAGGCCCAAACCCAAGAGCACAAAGTGTGAAAGCTGCTCCAGGGAAAAATGGTATGTGAATTCTGAACTGAGT